GGTCGACCAATGGTGTACGCCATAACTCTCTCAGGCGGTAGTTGACGACCCGCTCGAAGCACAAGGTAGAGTCCAAGGAGCCCGCCGCAGGCGCTGATAGCAGCACGTTGTGCCACGAGCCCGCCGCAAACGCCATGATTTTCGCCGCAGAAGCGTGGGTGGGTCTAGGTAGGAGACCGATTTCTGACCACACCCACTTCCCGAGGTGCCTTGCGGAAAGCGGTTTCCAGAGGTGGAGGTGGGCAGTTTCCCCGCCCCAGGGAAGGAAAAACTACCCACTTCCACCCCCGAGGGCCTATCATAGAATCGAGAATCCAAAGGTGGATGAGGTCAGAAATCGGTCTTCGACTAGGGTGGGTCCCCGCTGGGTCGCTTGAGGGTCGCAAGCGGATCGCGGGTGGGTCGAGGGTGGGTCGCGGGTGGGTCGGTGGCGGATCGCGGGCGGGTGGCGGGCGGGCGACGGCGGAAGATGACGACAACAACAGAACAGACGAGATCGGCACGGCGGGGGCTCAATTCCGCCGCGCACCCAGCGACAGTATACAGTCGGGGCCTTGACCTAAGGAACCCTAAATAAGGAACGAGGCCCCTTCTTCCCATAAGTCAAACTCCGATCTCCCATCGAAAACATAAGGAAAGCCTGAGGCAAGCTGTGAAACACTTCAGGAACACGGAGCCCCTCCCCAACGAAAAGGGTTCCTTCTTCAGGGCCCCGACTGTAAGACCGTTCGGCCCCGTCACCGTGATTCCTGGGGCCACAAGTCGCAGCTACCATGCTATAGCTAACGGCAGAGACGCAGCGGCGGCAAGGGGGTATACACAAACTAAGTACTGATCACCCAGAAGATACTTCCCAACGTTGGGGTCGAGAGGCCCCTTGAACCACGGAGTGAAAGAGCCTGGGCGTCGGAGGTACACTCCTCCTCCTTCTGCTCCTCCGTTTCCCCCACCTCCTTCTCCTCCTCTTCCTCCTCCTGCGAATGCTGCTGCTGCTGCCCCTCCTCCTCGTCCTCATCATCCTCCTCGTTCTCCTCCTCGTTCTCCTCCTCCTCCTCCTCCTTCTCCTCCTCCTCCTTCTCCTCCTCCCGCGCTCCTGGGCACAGCGCGGCAGGTGTTGAGCTCGCCGCCCGACGGGGAGGCCAGGTCGTTCTGGAGAAGCTCCAGCCTGGCATTGGCGAAAGTAGAGGAACAAACAACGGCATCAACATAAACTGTTGGTTGGCGGCGTGCATAGGGGGGGTAGGGGGAGGGGGGAAGGCTTCTTAGAAGGCTGCTTCTTAGGAGGCGCCGGCCCTACATCTATACACAAGGCCCACGTCTTCTAAGAAGCAGGGGTGCTTCTAAGAAGTCTTCCCCCCTCCCCCATACCCCACTATGCGCGTGGCCGAGTTGGCGCTCGGCGCGAGTTTCTATGATCCTCGCTGGGCCCCTCTCCCCGGCGCGCGGAGCGCGCCAGGGGCGGCGCCGGAGGCGCCGCCAGAGGGGTCCCAGCGCAGATCCAAGAGATGCGCGCGGAGCGCCACAAGTTTATGTTTATGGCGTCTTTTCTTCTCCGGGAAGTAGAACTGGCCGAGGTGGTACACGAACTGGCCGAGGTCACAGGACCCCGTGCCGTAGCTCTGATTGAGCGTGACGACTCCTGGCCTGACCTGAGGGGGACTGTGAGGGCACGAGGTACTTTCGGACGCTTTCGTCAGCTTTGGCGACGTTCCCAATCTCCAGATGCCTTCCAGCAGCTGCGCCTCGCCGAGAGCGTTCCGAGGCTGCCGGGATCGTCCAACGACCGCCGGAGGCCCGAATTGTGACCAGAACACTACGGGGACGGGTACTGGCTCAGGGGGGGAGGCGTCGACCTGGAATCGGTGATACATCGGCGACAGATCGGCGATACAGTCGGGGCCTTGACCTGAGGAACCCTAAATAAGGAGCGAGGCCCCTTTTTTCCGTAAGTTAACCTCCGATCTCCCATCGAACACATAAGGAAAACCTGAGGCACGCTGCGAAACACTTAAGGCACGCGGAGCCCCTCCCAAACGAAAAGTGTTCCTTCTTCAAGGCCTCGACTGTAGGCCCGTTCGGCCCCGTCACCGTGATTCCTGGGGCCACAAGTCGCAGCTACCATGCTATAGCTAACGGCAGAGACGCAGCGGCGGCAAGGGGGTATACACAAACTAAGTACTGATCACCCAGAAGATACTTCCCAACGTTGGGGTCGAGAGGCCCCTTGAACCACGGAGTGAAAGTGCCTGGGCGTCGGAGGTACACTCCTCCTCCTTCTGCTCCTCCGTTTCCCCCACCTCCTTCTCCTCCTCCTCTTCCTCCTCCTGCGAATGCTGCTGCTGCTGCCCCTCCTCCTCGTCCTCCTCCTCCTCCTCGCTCTCCTCCTCCTTCTCCTCCTCCTCCTCCTCCTCCTCCTCCTCCTTCTCCTCCTCCTTCTCCTCTCCTCCTCCTTCTCCTCTCCTCCTCCTTCTCCTTCTCCTCCTCCTTCTCCTCCTCGAACCACGGAGTGAAAGAGCCTGGGCGGTGTGGGCCGTCAGGGCACCGTCGGCGATCAGTGGGCGCGGCCGGGGCTCGGTGCGTCCCCCCTATGAGCCAGGCGCCCCCCCGACGCTGCCCCCGACGACGGAAGGGGCCCTGGGACACACACACACACGCACACGCACACGCACACACACACACACAAATACACACACACAAATACACACACACACACGCACACACACACGCACACACACACACACACACACACATACACACACACACACACACACAAAAAAAATACACGCAAATAAACAGATTCCCCACCATATTTTCCCATGCTCTCTGGGCTTTTGTCTTCCCCCCCACTGCCCATGATTTCCCATCTGTTCTGGGCATCGCCCATTGCTTGTGTCTGTGTGTTCTTTCCCCTCCTGACTGACGACCTCCTGGAACGACAGCTCCGCGCCAGAGTCTGCCGGGGAGCTGAAGAACCAGACGCCAGGGTTGAGGAACACAGTCAGCATCTCTTGAGCAGGGACCGACCGTCCCGGCATTCCTACAGGCCTACCACGACATGTCCTTAGAACCCAGACATGTTCGAATAACCAGCACACTGCTTTTAGAACATCGACTCGATGTGCTAAAACAAGACAGCCCCAGCCAGAAGTGTTCTAAGAACACTTCGTACAAACCACAAAAGGCTACTCAAGATCTCGTAATAAAAGGGAGGGGGTCTGGACCCTCCAAGACAAGCCATTTCAGACCTCCCCCGTGGGAGAACCCTCCATAACATCGTCCCCAGACCCCCCAGGCCCTCCAAGATAGCCTGGAAGAGACCCCCCCCCCCGAAATGAGACCCCCCTCCCTTTCTTACGAAATCTGGAGTATTATAGCCTTTTCTGGTAGGCCCATGGGCGAGTCGGGACGCTTCCGCCGCTGCTCGCACCTCGCACGATGCCGTGGCTCCCAGCTTCACGATGCCGCCGAGCTCCTCCTCGACGCTGCAGAGGAAGCCGTCGTACTCCAGGGACGCCCAGCCTGCAGTATCGGGTCGCGCGAAAGGGGGGGATAGCAAAGGGGAGGCTTGAGAATCAGCTCACGTAGCTGATTTGCCCGGCGCCTCCCGGCGCCGGAGGCGGCTATGTATCGAGGAATGGGCCCCTCGGTGAGGCCGAAACCAGCTGCATGCAGCAGATTTCGTAACCCCCCCTTCCTGAAGGGGAACTGGGACACACAAATAAATACACACAAATAAAAATATCCCCCATATTTTCCCATATTTTCTGGGTTCTTGTCTTCCCCCCCACTTCCCATATTTTCCCATATTTTCTGGGAATCGCCGATTAATTGTGTCTGTGTGTTTTTTCCCCTCCTGACTTTCGCTATCCCCCCCTTTCGTTCGCACCGACAGTGCCGTGGAGCGTGGGGGCGGCCCCCGGGGGACTGCACTGGCGCCGGAGCCCTCGAATCAGGTCGGCCCTGTCCCCCTACTACAGGAGGGCTTCGGACGACAAGTTACGAAAGGGCCCCAGGACACACACAAACCAATACACACAACTAAGAGGATTCCTAATGCTTTCCTACATTTTCTGGGTTTTTGTCTTCCCCCCCACTTCCCATATTTTTTCCCATATTTTCCTGGGAGTCGACGATTAATTGTGTCGGTGTGTCTTTCCCCCTCCTGAAATTAAAGATACTCAGAAAATACTCCCCGAATGCCCGAAAAGAGTCCACAAAAAATAGTCCCCAGACTATGTTTGAGACTAATTTCGAGTCTTCCCCCTGTACAGGAGCAGGCCAGACCTGACCCTGGAACATCGGTCAGGACGGCCACGGGGCCCGGAAGGGGGCCCACGAGGACTCCCATAGGTCGCCCGTGGAGGCAGACTCGGGCGTTGGCAGAACTGGGCTTAGGGGAACCTGGTTTACTGATGCGTACCGGGGGGCGCCCCCCCCCCGCCCCGTTCCGCTAAGCGGAACTGCCGTCACCCGAAAAACACCGGTTACGGCAAACCTGGTTTATCGAATCTGGCCACTCGAGGGGCCCCAGGGCCCCCCCACTGATCGGGTCCCCTCACCCGGGGTCCAGGCTGTACCCGACAGAAGAGGGCCACAAAAAAAGCAGTCGATCCCAGCGCCTCGAACTTTCCCCCCCCTTGCAGCTGGACGGAGCCAGCGCTGGACCGCCTCAGACCCCCAGCCGGCTCCAAGACAGAGCCCACACACCTCGACGTGAGACGAGTGCAGAGCGAGGACCGGGGGCGACCAAGAAGAGGGGGGTGTCCAAGAGGGGGGGGTGCAAATCACGCGCCGAGGCATGTGCGCGGACCAGGCGGGGCCAAGGAACGCATTGAAATAAGAAGAGGGGGCCAGCGGGGGTGAGGGCATGTGGGGGCTCACCCCAAAGACCGTCAGATCCACGGGCTCGCTAGATGTACGGCTTGGGGGAAAGATTCGATCCAGGCCTGGAGAACAATCGTCTCCTGTATACGGGTAGCCTGCATCGAAGCAGGTCTGCTGGCAATACCTGTTGTCTATCCAACTCGTCCACACGTTGCACGCGTGCCTGGGCCAACCCCATGTCACAATATCGCTGCACGCTGACATGTATCGGCCCGCGACCACGTCCGTGCAGTTGTCCGGGGCACGCAGGCCGTTTCCAAGATAGGCGGGGTCGATGTCACTCCGGTGGGCGCCGTCGACGTAGATCTTGTTGCCCGTAATCTGGACTCGCTTCGCTTTGTCCTCAATGCTGAACGCAAAGGAATGCCAGCGGGAGCCCGCTGCGCACCGCGACCGCACCGAGCCGACACCGGGGTAGTCGATCAGCCGGCTGTTAACCCGCTTGCGGTAGTACTCGCGGTGGGACCCGACAGGGGCTGTCATCTGTGACGAGATCCTGAGGGCAACATTAGTAGGCAAGCGTGTTCCACTACTCGCACAGCAACTACTCGCAAATGGCCAGGACCCGCCGCGGAGGACTATTTTGTTTCGAACGTTTGCGGGCAGGCACTTTGCGAGTAGCGGAGCGCGCTCGGTGACTTGGGGACGGCCCAGCCCAGGCGAGGAAACATCGACGTCTAGAGGGCAGATACCTCGGTCTCATGCCTCGCTCCGACTGCAAGGCCTTCGAGCTGCGAGCTGCCTGGTCGCCAAGGGGCAGCGAACGCTGCGCCAAGAGTGGCCCCAGGAGCGGCCATCGTTTCCGCGTGCTGCCTGGGCTGGCCCCAACTGTTGAGCAGGGACCGACCGTCCCGGCATTCCTATGGGCCTACCACGAAATGTTCTCAGAACCAAGAGATGTTCCAATAACAAAACAATGTTCTTAGAACATAAACCCGATGTGTTAAAACAAGACGGGTCCAAGCCAGAAATGTTCCAAGAGCATCTCGTGCAAACCACAAATGGTTCTTAGAACATTCTTGGGCGGGCCTATAGGCGAGCCAGGACGCTCCGCCACTGCTTGAAACTGGCCACCGCATCTGCCACAGAAGCACCAGAAATAGACGAGCGCGCTCCACTACTCGCTCAGTGACTACTCGCAAATGGCCTGGATCCGCCGCGGGGGGTTTACGATAACTCTCGTCGAAGCGAACATCTGTTTTTCGTACCTTTGCGAGTAGGCAGTCTGCGAGTTTTCGAACGCGCTTGGTGAACAGCAGCATCAGAAAAGGACAAAGCAATGTTCTCAGACCACAACACCGATGTGTCAAAACAAGACACAATCCCAGCCAGAAATCTTCCAAGAGCATCTCGTGCAAACCACAAATGGTTCTTAGAACATTCTTGGGCGGGCCTATAGGTGAGCCGGGACGCTGCGCCACTGCTTGAAACTGGCCACCGCATCGGCCACAGAAGCACCGCATCGGCACTACCGTGAGCAGGAGGAGGAGGAGGAGGAGGAGGAGGAGG